GCGCACAGATTTCTGGCTCCCAGGACACACCCGGGCCGTAGGACCCCGAGTTCCTTTTTCTCTCACTACTCGGAGTTCGGAAGTAAAAGCCCAAATATTCTCCAGACTGACACAACCTGGAAGAGGTTGCTAGACAAGCCGAGTTCCTCTGTTAAAGGGAGGGCGGGGGGGGGGGGGGAGTTTTCTGCTCTGGCGCGCACAGATTTCTGGCTCCCAGGACACACCCGGGCCGTAGGACCCCGAGTTCCTTTTTCTCTCACTACTCGGAGTTCGGAAGTAAAAGCCCAAATATTCTCCAGACTGACACAACCTGGAAGAGGTTGCTAGACAAGCCGAGTTCCTCTGTTAAAAACATCGCTCCTCCTGCGAATGATTAAGAGCTGGTTAGAAGGAAACTCGCCTACGCAGCCTAGGGAACCTTCCAGCTAAAACTGATACACGTTCTTTTAAACGAGAAGATAAACCAGCTAGTCTCCAGGGCTTTATAACCACTGAATGCATCCTGAGCTGCGCCTACAGACATCTCTATGTGGGCGGTAGATTTACTGATCGCCCTCTAATGGGCAATGATGGATTGCTGTTATTGCTGTGTTTGATAAACTATGGATGTGTTCTCAATTGGGCACTGTATGGACCAGGTATAGAAAATCCATATAGTCTCCCCCAAGGAGTTTACCAATACATTTGACACAATCCAGTTTAGTTTAGAATCAGAAAGGTAGCCCTGTTAATCTGAATTTGCATAAACAACCAGAAATCCTGTGGCACTTTAGAGACTAACAGATTTATTGGAGCACAAGCTTTCGTGGGCAAAAGTGGGTCTTTTGCCCTCTAAAGTTTGTGCTCCAATAAATCTGTTAATCTGCAAGGTAACACAGGACTTCTCCTTATTAGCCCATTTTCTGCAAGCATGGCTTTTGGACCTCACTCTCCAGTCTATCAATTTGGTTTTGGTAATTGTGATTTTGTTAAAATTAAATGAGTACACTAGTAGAAAATGGTTTTATTTCACTAACTACAAATTTTCTGTTTTAATTTTTTTATTTTTAAACAATCCAAGCAAAAAACAAAACAAACAAACAAAATTGCAAAGTGCAAACATCTGTAAAAGCCAACAGAAAAAGGGGGGGCTGCTAAACATTTTTTGCTTGGGGCGGCAAAAAACCTAGAGCTGGCCCTGTTCATGGGCAGCCCGGCCAACCTCATTCACACATTTAAAACCCACAAAGCATTCCCCACTCCTTAGGTCTAATTTTACACACAAAATGATACACACATCACAGTAAGATAAGGAGAACCAGTGGATTATGACATGGGGGCGGGGAGGGTTACATGAAATAATTTGCTCAAAGCACCTTTGACTTCTGTGTGTTCATGTCCATGAGTCCATTTCATAAAGCACGAGGGAGGGGATCTGTTATAACTACAAATCTGACACTTGTGGGATTTAGCTGGTAACTCATTGCTGTGTGTATTTTTGTAGTTGGTTGGTTTGTGGGAGGGGAGGAGGTTGCTTTCTCTTGCATAAAACTCTCTCATTCCTTTGTCCTAGTTAATATACCTCGAGACGGTATCTCACAAGGTTGACTACAAGTGCTGTCTTTGATAAAGATCTGGAGTAAGCGATGATGCTCTTGGGCCTGAAAACAAGGTCAGTATGACGTGGTTTTTGTGTCTGTGACCATACACACCGATTCTGGCGTGTGTGGGTGGCAAGGCAGATTGGAGAACTGATGGAGACTGCCTGTGATAACACTGGAGTAGTTACCCAAGAGTCTGCACGTGTACCTGGCTTGGTGAAATCTTGTAAGAGAACCAAAGCCTTGTTGCAGTGTGTTGTGTACCAAAGGGGCCTCCAACTGAGCCAGAGAGCAGGGAGCCATCTCCGAGTAGGGGGCAGACCCAGGCAATGCCCCATCTGTTAGGAGGCAGGACAGTGAGCCTAAACACTTTTGGTCTGCTCCTAAGTCTGGAGGCAGAAGGGAGCCTGGTGAGCTGAGCTCTGGGCAGAGAGGACAATGAACACTCCAGAAATCTGCCCAAATGCAGCCATGTCAGGGGTGGGGGACGTGCTGTTTCTCAGCTCAAGCCCGGCCCCTGGGATGTTTTCTCATCCCAGTGTGGGGTCCTCCAGCCAGGGCCAGTCACAGCGTTTATGGGGCCCTGCACAGCACAGTTAGCCTGGTGCCCGGATGTCCAATGGCAGCATGGGGAAGGCGGAGATGGCTTTGTAGAGAGACAATTGAATCATCAGGAACACAGAAATGAAATGTTCTTACAGCCTAGTTTAAGCTCAGTTCCTGTCGACTAACCCAGTGCATTCAGAAATGGGCAGGCTGTGTCTGGGGCTGGCCAGTGCCTGTCGGATGGCCTCATTTCCACGTGAATGGCTCTGTCGCAGGCTCGGTGTCCTACCAGTAGGTCTGGCCGGCTTTTCATGTTTGCGTTACCTAGATGCTCTCCGGAGTGAGACTCACAAGGCAGAAGCAGCCACAGAACAAGGACAGTAAAAGGCAGGTGAGGGGACACTGGGAGCCAATGGTGCTTCCAAATTTTCTGTTGCCCTACGCCGCTGCACATCCTGCATGTAGATGAGGACAGCCCTGCCACCAAGCAAGTCAGATTCACAACATGCCCTTGTGGAGATATACAGAGTGCAGGTCAACACAATTCCCTCACTCACAGGACGCTGAGACCTGCTCCCTCAGACGGCTCACAGCTGCCTTCTAGAAACTTTCCTACCTTGGCTTTCCTCCAAGCCCTTCCCGCAGCCCCTCCCTGGGCCGTCTGCACGGCTGCTTCCCACCGGCCTCCCCTTCTGCCTCCATGACCCAAGACAGACAGGAGAGCGTCTCCCCACAGCCCCCATCTCAGCTGGGCTGTCTCCCTTTTTGCTGCGCCCTGAGCCCTTCCCCAGCTGGGCTCCCTCTCCATCTGGACCTGGCCTCCTGCTATTGCTTTCCCTCTGAGTGCCAGAGCCAGGTCATTTCCATCCCACAGGGTCAGGGTTTCGGGACTGGACACCCTCCCCCACCCCGTTGCTGCCCCTCTGGGCTATGGCTCCCTGTGACACTGCAGAACCTCCAAGGAGCTGCGAGGTCCCCGGCTGGTGTCCAAGGGCTGTGACACCATTGGAGTGAACTCGTCCCAAGCGCAGCAGGGGCAGCTCAGTGTGACTCAAGGCAGCTTCTTTTCCACTACGTGACACAGCCCCTCCTCCCCCCCCCCCCCTCCCCCCT